GTAATAAACCTTCAAAGAAAGTTCACCTTGATTTAAATAAACTCACATTCTCAATGAAAAATGTCCACTCTTTGTCTTCAAACTCATCCGCATGTGGGTCCTGTCAAACAAAACCATATTTAAAAAGTAAAAACAAATTTACTGACCCAAATTATAGTTCAGCATCTATCAGTATCTTTAACAAGCCGTATGTTACATATATTATTAGTTAATGCAATATAATAATATATATTATAGCTAATAATAAGCTGTGATAGGTGTCCTACCCTGTAGAGTGTGACGGTAATGTCCACGTTCTCAGGTACGGGCCATACCACCATTCCCCTGTAGGGGTTTTTGATGCCTGGCTGCCATGCATGAAGCTGATGAGAAAATAAAAGATAATGTCAGTCATAATAATCCACATTATTATGACAGCAGTTGTAATCATTGTAAGCACTTGTAAATAACACATTGTTATACATGATCATTTAAAATGTCAGTACACTGTTCGGACTGAAAACTTGGGAAGAAAATCATCTTGAAATTCTGGATTCCCGGACATAGTCATAAACTAAATTACACTAGCTTTCGCAAATAATCTGAATCCAGATGTACAGTACATAAAATGGTAACAATTTTTTAAATTTTGTATTTAATATGGGTCAATAAAAACATTAATTAACATAATAATATTAGTTAAAATATTTTATTTATATATTTATTGACAATTAAAGCTTGTTTATCTCTGTACCTTTGAGCAAATGCGCCTGTTCCTCCGTGTCCACACCACTCTCAGTTTGTCTGGTTGCCTATAAAATAATAAAAAAAAGAGATCTGAGTGGGAGCTTACAAGTTCAATAATAGGACTGGTCCTTTAATTACTATTGATGAAGACCTCTACGATGACTCTAATACTTTCCATGTGTGCTTAAAATATGGATATAGGCTAAATATAAAGGCCATACAATATGATCTTGAGAAAGCCACTGTGGCATTCCTGGTGTGTGTGTGTCTACAAAAAGCTACAGGCAGTGTAACAGATCTTGTGATCTTGTCTCCCAGTGTTACCCCAAGACAGAAAGGAATCAATAAATGCTGCCAACTGTTTCAAACCCCACACAAAAACAAGAGCACATGATGCAAGGCCTTGCATACAAGATAAATCCAAACCTGAGAAACTTTTTGTTCACAAACAAGTACACATGAACAAATAATCGATTGAGGCATGACACTTTTTGTCTTGCCAAATAACCAAGTCGTAATTTGGTGTCTGCTGAAACATGTTGAATCAATTACTTTTACTGCCCTGCATTGTTATCTATGCTACCATTTAAAAATGCAAAAACGTTGCATGCACGTTAAAGAGTTCCTCTCTTGTTTAAGTCTCTTTATTGAGGGCACAGCACCATGTAGACCTATAAGCCTTATTATATCTGATATCCAGAACATTATTTTGGATTGCCGGTATTGCCAGCAAAAATGCAAATCGATGTGCAGCTTTAAAACAAATAAATGAAAATCACCTTTTCCAAGGTTGCACTGTACATGTATGCTTTTGCTTACAAAATAAACTTGCCCTTTGATAGTGAATTGTTCGGATGTGAGCCCATTGTACACCTCTGAGCTTTCAGTCAGTGTCATGCTTGATGCATTAAGAATTGGAGGAAACTTGGCAGGGTCACATGACCAAGCTGAATTTGGCTCACAGCACAAGGGGTGTTGGCCTGTAATCTCCAAACCACTAAGTCTCACTGTGTTTACAAACAGCTGTTCACATTTAATAATCGCAGCTTATATTTTGTGATATAAAAGCTGTCATTAAGCATACAAAAACACTGAAGGGAACAAAAAAACTATTTTTGCCATTATAGATACCGTTCAAAAGTTTGGGGTTGGTAAGGTTTTTTAAAGTTTTTGAAAGAAGTCTCTTTATGGTCAACAAAGCTGCATTATAAAATACAGTAAAATAGTAATACTGCGAAATA